GAAGAGTGCTTGGAATTCCAAAGGTGGAGTTGCATCTTTCTCTCTCAATTAAAATCAGTTTGATCATAGTGAGTGCTTGGGATTACAAGTGACTCTCATAATATTTGTTATGTATTAAACCAAATTGCTTGCTTTAAATTCCAAAGATTGATTTATGGCTTTCTCTCTTAATTAAAATCAGCTAATTAAATTATGGGGAGTTAATAATTTTAAAGGTGGAGACATGGCGTTTACGCTTTCTTAATTAAAATCTATTAAAATGGAGAGTGCTTGGAATTCCAAAAGTGGAGTTGCATCTTCTCTCTCAATTAAAATCAGTTTGATCATGGTGAGTGCTTGGGATTACAGGTGACTCTCACAATGTTTGTTTAGCTTGATTTTGAGCAACGACAGCTGAGCCATTTCCCAGCATCCGTTTGGGGTCACTTGCTAATGAAGCTCGAGCCACTCGAATGCAAATCACTTGCAACTTCTCATTCTTCACAATTTCCTTATCTCTCATAATCAACAGATATCAAATCTCGCATAAAAACTTACTGTAGAACCCCGTAATTTTTTGTTATATGAATGTATGTGAATTATTAGTAAATAAATAATTCTTTTATGATAAATAGCTTGAGGTCATTGATATACATGATAATAAGTTATTTGAGATGATATGAGAGTTTGGGTGTAGAGTTTTGTGCGTTGGTTTTGCAAATTAGTAAAACATGCACAAAAAAACTAAATTTTTCCAGATCAGTCGACACATCAGTCGACTGACTGTATCAGTCGACACATCAGTCTATTGATACGCTGATTTCCAGTTTTTCAGGTTTCGGGTCTGTTTTGATTTGGTTCGGGTTTGGGTCGGGTTTAACTGTTCGTATATATTCCCCTTCACCCGAAATCACCCCCCTCATCTTCAGAACTGAGAAAACCCTAGCCCCCTCTCCCCTATCTTAAACCCTAGTTTTGTTCTTGGTGATTTGGGGGAGAACTTGGAGGATTTTTGTCGAAACCTTCACATTGCAGCAAAGGGGATCCTCTCTCTCTCTCAGATCCTGGAGTTGTTCATCACCCAGAGGCGAGTAACATCTCGCCCAACTCTGCCCCTTTTGTTTTACACGAATTTATTGAGTTTAATGAGTTTTGATTTAGCCAAAAAAAACGTATTTTTAGTATAAAGAATAAATCTTTATGGTATAAGAGGTGAGGTGTTGAGCATCTCAGTTTATAAAAAGACCAACAATGTTTTATTAAAGGGATCTAGATCTGAAACGTTTGACAAGAGTTAATTCATGATTTATTGATTTCAAAACATTTTCAAACATGTTTTTATGTGTTTAAGGTTTTTGATAAATGTTTACATGTAGATCCTTTATTTCAGTTTGGTACATATATGATAAAATCAGCATTTTCATGCTTGGGATAGATGGGGAGGAGTTTAGAGAAATTTTTGGGTGAATAGCAACCTGTGCAGAGTTTCTATAGTCAATCGGTCGACTGATCAGTCGACCGACGGGCTGAAATCTCAGTCATCAGTCAACTGATCAGTCGACTGATGGGTTGATTTGGTTTTTCTCAGCTCCGCAGTCGACAGATCTGTCGACTGGTGAGCTGAGGCTGTGCTGCCTGAGCTTATCGGTCGACATATGAGTCTACTGACATCATCAGTCGACACATCAGTCGACTGATGAGATGTTTTACAGATTTTTGATCTATTTGAGTTGTTTTTTTGGGGTCGCCTCGATGACCTGACACTAGTTCACTATGCTAATGATTTATCTGTACATGTGGGTTGACTTTTGACACAAGTTTAGATATGTACACCGAGACGCGTGTGAGTTTAGAATATGTATATCAGTCCGCATATACTTTTCACTGTTACACAGTCCTCGTGTTGGACTATAATCCATAGAAGTCCTCGTGTTGGACTATAATCCATTTCTGTCCTCGTGTTGGACATTTGCCACTTATTCCATGTGTTTGGAAACCACAGTATCTAGTTCCTGTATCGGACATATTTCTTAACCCTGTATATGACTTTCTCACAGGAGTTTATGACATGACACTTATGTAGATTATGACATGATATGCATACAAGTAATGACATGATACTCGTGTAGGCTATGACATGGCACTGTATTTATGCTCTGAGATTAGTTGTATTTCTTTTATTATTGTTCCTGTACTAGAACCTCGGGTTTGGTGTTTAGGGATTTACAATTTGAGATACAAGGTATATACATGAGGGTTTCCTTGTTTGGATTATTTCGCTCGACGTACCTATACTCGTGTTGTAAATTTCTAAATACCAAAAATCCTCTTTAGTAAGATCAATAATTTTAGATCTATTATGTATTATCTGTATTTTCTTATACAACGAGCCCTGTTCCCTTGGGGTTGGTTGTGATGTTGCTCGCTAGCGCTTTGGCGCTCGTTGTCCCTCCCCCTTTCAGGTAACGAGCCAGGAGCCCGGAGAGCCGCAGGTTGATGGCGAGGCATTTTAGCTTCAGCTGTTTACTTAGTTATATTGTCTATTGGCGTTCCATAGTAGACTTTTATTTAGGTATTTGAGAGTCTTATTCTAGAAGTTGTAAAGGCTGTGTGCCTTATTTCCTCTTGTCAGATATTTGTATTTGGGACTTGTTGAGTATTCCAGTTATCTATTCAGACATTGGCTATGTATTTCTGTATGTTGGATGATGAGATATTTATGTGATCACTATCACTTCATCAGTTATTTCTTGCACTATCTTTTACTTGCTTTTGTACCTACACCTATTGTTGACTCTGCTAGATAGATGTTAATTGTGATGGTGAAACATGTTATTGCACGGTGAGGTGCAAGGCAGGTTTGACATTCTTGGTTTCACTTTGGACTGCAGCCTTGTGTGAACCCAGGGGCGTCACACTTACAACTTCACCTTTGAATTTATCCTAGGTTACAAATTTGCAACCAAAATCACAAGATCAGTTGTCAACGAGCTTACGAATGATAATGGAGAAGCTAGCGAATGATCACAATTGAACAGAAGGGGTACCTTTATAACCAGGTTAAAATTAGACCTTCTAAAAAACAATTTGGGTTGATTGTTAAAAAAAGAAATATTTTTCATTTTTTAATTTATTACAGATAGCAAACAACCTCAACGTCAGAGTATACGAAAGCCAATAAGGGGCCCTGCAAGATCAAGAGCTTGTTGGAATTATGAATTAGGAATTAAGAACCAAAACAAAGGTATGTTTTATTATATAAACTGAAAATTTTGATTTAATTGATCCATGATGTTATTTGATGTTTAAGAAAAGTTCTCTCAGTTACCTATTATACTAGGCGATGAAATTCTGGCTATGTGTGTTTCAAGCTCTAGAATGATGATGTCAAGGACTTCTTTGCTTATGTGTCCTTTTTAAATTACTTTGTTATTACAACAAATAGGTCGTAGCTGAAATTTTAAAAAGTTTTTCTTTCATATATACCCTCAAATTTAGTGAATTTGCATCTTTAAAATAAATAGTGATAATTAAACTATTCATCTAAAACTACCCCGACCCCGAGAAACTATAGAAAAAAGTGTTCTGGTTTGGCTAATCAAATGATATGGATGAGAAGGGGAGCAACATTCAGGTATCCACATTTTTGTAGTTAAAGCAGAGGTTTTTTTCTAATAGCCCAAATTGAATCTTTTTGGAAAAAAAAATTTTCCCTTTTATTTTGGACCGTATGTATGATAACATGATTTCATCCCTCATACTAAGAGAAAATCAATTACATTATTTTTTGACCGTGAAACTTCTATCATTCCTTTGTAAGAACCCTTAGGACAGGATGAACTTGTGAGTAATTATAAAGTTTTGAGGGACTAATATATAACTACTGAAAATTTTAGGACTAATATCTAGATAACCCTAACTATTTAGCTGTGTAACTATAGTTTCTCTCTTTAATTTACCACTGCCAATTGAATGTTTATCATGTTTCAAGTCATGATATTTCTGGTGTTTAGTTATTATATATATATATATATATATATAATATATAATATATATATATATATATATATATATATAATATATATATATATTATACTATATATATATATAGTAATATATATATATATAATATATATAATATATATAATATATATATATATATAGAGAAAAACTTATGTCAACTTAAGTGGACGTCCACTAAATTTCTTAGTCATTGATGATCACTTGATTGAGCTACATTGTGGATGATCCACTCCGTTGAACTTGATCTACATATTTTAAAACCCCAACACACCAAATTTGGGGTGAACCCGTCATGGTTTGACCTTTCATCCACTTGTATCAATTTTAACGGTTTCGAATGAATAGAACTTTTTACATGGCTCGACAGAGAGTCAAACGACGACGGGTTCACCCCAAATTTGGTGTGTTGGGGTTTTAGAATATGTAAATATATAATATTGGGAAGAACTATTGTAAGTTTTGTCATATAATTATATTGATGCATGTCTAGAAACAACTGTTACACCTATGTATGTCCAAAATCAAATACTATTTATATGCTTATACCCATAGTTCAGGTTGTGATGAACAATTTTTTTAAAGTGAAATAGACATTTTCTATGTGTTACTATGTATGTATAAACTACTACAAAATCTACATATTTTGCTTTGCATCACATATATAATCTATTTACATAATATATTACTACAACAATTATCATTACTTTTGTTCTCAATATCGATTAGTTCTACACGTATATCATGCTCAACCTAAGAAGCCAATAACAACGAATGAGTCAAAAAATTATTTATCCTTATTCATTGATACTTATTTTATTTGTAAATGTACGTACTAAAACACTCAAAACTTCTTTTTAATAATTTTCTATAAATAATTCTTTATCTTTTTTCCTTCAAGCCACATCTTACCCAAGAAAAAATATAAAATATAAAATAAGTATGTCATGTACATTGCACGTACACTATAGTAGTTCATTTAAGAGTGAGGAATTTGAAAGCCGGATTTCAAATCCACCCTTCCCATTGTCATTTATCAAATCGCGATCCGACTATTCTTCCTCTCTCTCTCTCTCTCGTTTCAAGCCCCGTTTCTCTCAGCTCGCTCTCTCTCTCGTTTCAAGTCCCGTTTCAGGTAAAATCTCTCTCTCTCTCTCTCTCTCTCTCTCTCTCTCTCTCTCTCTCCCCACCGGCCCTCTCTCTCTCTCTCTCTCTCTCTCTCTCTCTCTCTCCCCACCGGCCTCTCCCCCTTCTCCCCCCTCTCCGCTACAGTCGAAACACTAGATCTGATCTAGGGTTTAGATCGTGATCTTCGCGGCAAAACCGTAGATCAGAGCTAGTACTCTCGATGTGATCTCCACTGATGGTGGTTCATGTAATCTAAACATTATTTTAACCAATTGTTTCTGATTTTTGACGATTTTATTATGAACATGCATTAGGGTTTGATGATTTTGATGGAATCTTAGCTAATTCGAATAGGGAGAGCTTTTCTCATCTCAGAGGTACAACCTTTTTTCTTTTTATCTTACTGATGTAACAGTTTCTGGGAACTTGATTATACTTAAAATTTAGGTTCTATTGATATGTTTTTGGGGGTGAAAATTCAAGTGATAGGTTGATTTTCATTTGGTTAAGATAGTGTTAGTGCTAGATTCATATTTAATTTTCGATTGATAGGATTGTATGAAGGGTGTAAAAGCATTTAAAGATAGCCTTAAGTTTATCCTTAGGCTCTCTTAGTATGATCGTTTCAGGCTACATAGTATCTTATTTTGTAGTTTCTGGGTTTTATGTTATGTGGGATAAAATTCACGTTATTTAGGAGTTAGACCAATGGTATCATGTGACAAATGTTTTTGAAATTTCATAGTTATGTTTTACATCAATCTGTCCAAAATATGCAGTCCAATGATAAAGATAACAGATTGTTTTATCAGCATGCATTCCAATAATTTAGCATAGATATCTCGGTAATTCCTTGTGAAGTTTACTTTACAATATCACATAAGAAAGGAAAGGGATATGCTGCAAAAGCTCAGATCCAGCTCTATCAAACTCTGCTAGACCTTGTACAAGATATATGGTAATATGCATTAGCAGCAACATCTGTTGATATTGTCGAAGATTAAAGGAGACAACGAGCTGCGCATTTTGAACATAATGAAAAGGTTGTTGCCAGCTCTATCAAACTATTTGACCCTTTATTATAATCTACTTGGGAGGTATATCTTCTGAACATTGCAAAAATTAACATGACAATAATCTTACATGTATTTTAAGCTTGTGGCAAATTTGGCTTGAACTTTCCAATGTGAATTTATATATATGGTAATTGCAGCTAGCTTTGATTCTCAGGTTCATTATAAGGACAGTTTATTATACTATCTGGAATTAGATATAACACGTACATATTCCTGAACTAAGAATTTCATGAAAAGTCTAAATTACCTCAATATATCTAGCATCAGTTGCTGGAGGCTGAGTACCATCAGGTATAAAGTTTAAGTTGCCACCATGTTTCTGCAATCGTAAAGGTGAAGCATTTACACATGGCCATATTCCTAAACTAAAAATTTCATGAATATTCTAAATTACCTCAGTATATCTAGCATCACTTGCTGGCCGCTGAGTACCATCAGGTTTAAAGTTTAAGTTGCTACCGTGTTTTTGCAATTGTAAAGGTGAAACATATCTACTTGTTGGATTTTAGTGGTCAATTTCCGCCACTTGATTCTATTTTGTAGAACAAAAACTTGTAATGCTCTTATTTCTTTTATTGTTATTAGTTCCTACTTTGAATTTGTTGTGTTTGTTTTAGTATTTATTATTCTTGTTTTAGATTGGAAATTTTATGTGTTGATGAAATGACTGGTTTTATCCCTTTTTTTCTTTTCTTTTCTGTTATAGTTTTATGCTTTAATAGTGGATTCCTCAGGTTTTTTTTGGTGGTGTGGGTGTAAGGGGATATGAACAGGTCCCCATAGTATTCCCACCCTTTTATAATTTTCAGTGATGCGTGGTTGAAGGATTTTTTTTATTGTTGGTGGGGGTGTTTTGTTTTGTTTTTGGTTTAGGGAGTCTACACTTCTTTGATGGTCGACTATGGATGGCTGAAGGATCAGTGTGAGAGTGATCAGTGCCTAGAATTGCCTACATTAACGTAGGATTTTTCTTCTTTTTTGAGAATTTTCTCCCAAACTCATCCACAAGCTTTGCTGGCCTTTGTAGATGAATTGAAAGTGATATGCTCAAACTTGATTAGAGCCGGTAGAGGCCAGAGACACATCTTGCCCCCCCCTCTATTAGTAAGAGGATGTAGCAATGTATAAAATTATTTTATCTTCACAATAAAAAAAACACTCATCCTTACTGTCCTTGGACAGTTGAGAATGTTTATTGTGTGAAACAGTAAAAGTAGCAGAGAGGTGAGAAAGTGATGGAGAAGTGAAGAAGGAAGTGAAAGGAAGAGTTAGTGTTCTCGATGAGAATGTGTTCACCCATTCTTCTTTCATTGAGAATGTGTTCACCCATTCTTCTTTCATTTTTCCTTTAATTATTTGATGAATTGATGGGGAATCAACAATAATCTTAGACCAGTTTGCACATTGAGAATTGAGGAATGGTAAATTGAGTTTCTTATCTGAGATTTGAAGGGTGAGAAGAAGAAGAAGAAGAAGAAGAAGAGAGAGAGAGAGAGAGAGAGAGAGAGAGAGAGAGAGAGAATAAACCCAAGTTCCGGCATGGGCCTCACTGGTGGCCACTTGTAGTCGTCGGTAGATCTCCTCTCTCATCATGACTCCCACGAGCTTGGAAGGAGTTGGAGGGAAGCTCAGTTTGTTACTGTGAAATAAAAAAGTGGAAGAAAAAGAAGAAAAGGGGATCGGATGAAGAAGAAGAGATAGAGAGAGAAAAGAAAAACTAAGATAAAATAATAAAAAAAATTTAGGACCCCTGAAAGTTCTGAGTTTGTAAATAGGTTCAAAAGGTAAAAGGAATTTTCATTCTTATGTAGACCCCAGTTGCTCTGTTAACTGCCAACAGGCCCAATAGATCCGAATTTAGTAAAAAATAGGTTGGATAATTGTTTGAAACACCTAAAACTGTTTAAAATTGTTAATATGTCCATAATTATTAGAATAATGTTATATAATTATGATAAATTGCTAAAATTAGCAAACAACCTATATGTACCCTATTTATAGATTTTAATTATTATTTGATTATATTTGAATCCGATTGGCTCTAGATTATGAAATGATTAGCCTATAATATATGCTTGTCTTGAATAAATATTAGTCTTATATCTTTATATTATAGGATCTAGTTGATATCAAGAGGAGCAATATTTTGAGGAAGTTGTATCCACTAGCGGTGAGTCCATTTGTCACTAGCATTTTTATAGTATAAATTTAATGAGTATTATATATCTTAATGGTCTTGTACTCGAAAAAGATAATTACTCTCTTAATTGTCACATATGTAAGATGAAAGGTAATTCGAGCTTTTCTATTTTGGCCTATACCTATAATATGATTTTTGATCTCGTATAAGATATTCAAAGTAAATTTAATTTCATATGTGATAAATGGTTTTAGTTCCATGCGATCTCAATAAATTCTGAAAAATGCTTTATTTGAAAGCTTTTGAAGAGAAGAAATATTGTGTATGTGTTTCAATAGTTTAATGGATTCAAAGATTTTTTATCACTTAGTATCTAATAAAATAGAGAAAAGTGAAATTCGTAAACTATTTTAACTAAGGTGATGAGTTGTACACTCGTTCACTTGGTTAAAAAATGTTTAGCAATTTTGATAAGTGATGTGTTTCTGATATGACAAATGATTCTTGCTATTTTCAAACCCTCAGAAAGTCCACTATGGAATGTTTTGTCTTTGCCTGTCGTATGGTGAATGAACCTTATTTGGCCCTTCTGAATTCTGTTATGGTTCTTTTGGACAATTCTGATTTGGCCGGCAAGCTATGACAGTGTTAGGTGCGTTCGATTCTTGAGAGTTATCAATTCTATGATGCATTTTACGCATTCCTATGCTACTGGGCTATAATATTCATAGCCTTAGTAGGTGATTCTTACATTACATAGTCTGTTTTCTTTCATAGTATTTACCTTGATTTCCAAAAGGGTTTGATTCTAGAATGTATTATAGTATATTTAGTTTCCACATAAGAAAGAAATCTAAAATGTTACATTCTTTCTGAAGGTAGCAATAATACGCTGTCTTGAACCATATTTTACTATTTTGGAATTTCTGATGCAAACTCATAATTTATTTTTTGGGAATTATTATTATTTTGTTAAATATCTAGAAACTCTAGTTGGAAATGATTTCACTAAGCCCTAGCTCACATCGTCATTTTCAAAAAGAATTTTAGATCTGGTGTAGCTATGTTTATAAACTAAACTTTTAGTTGTGGCGCCTTGCTAGGAGGCGTTTATATGGAAAATCCTCTCCTTTAGTGTTATGTATAGTTAACAATGTGTTTTGTTTTATAAAATGCTTGTAACGGTGAGAGTTCAAGTTGTACGTGCAAATTAGGTATACATAGTTTGCTCTCATCAGCAGGTATATATATTTTGAGAAAAGATATGTGATATGTAGTCATGCTTGACTTGTGCTATTTGTCTTGTACATAAATCGCTGCTATCGCGCAGCCGTATTTATAATTGTCGCTGCAATTTAGGTGCGTGATACCATTTGTTTATTTTATAGCATGCTTATGCTTTGACATATTGGTAGTGTATTAGTAGTCTTGCATGACCCTTACGCTAACCGCTACAATGTTTTGTCATCCAATTCTAGCACTAGTCACTTTTTTCAAATGGATATCACTTGTAGTTTTGTGAATGAGATGTAAAGTTCTCGTTACAGGTTAATAGTGCGATTAATAATTGGAATTACACTTTAATCATTGTACAAATAGACGGGTGTACGAGACGTGTCCTTAGGCTATGGAAGTACCTCCATGTCCATGTATATAGTTCTATATGACAAGACTAGGCGATTGATCACTGTTCTATGTTGGTCTCATTAGCACTACCTAGGTTGTGTGAGGTTTCCATAGGATCGAGACTAGTGAACAACATTATATGTGCAATATAAATAACATCAAACTTAGGGGTTAAGTGACAGGTTTTCGCATCTTAAGATAAGTTCATTTGGCTAGCGGACTCTTTCATGAGTACCATTATTATTATTTTTCATACTACCTTAATCAGTCCGAATCTCTCATTTGCATGTCCAAATAAAAACGTGATATAAACCATATGCTTAATTTTAATTATATATCTTTTACGTTCAGCCGTACATTATATTCAACTGATTCCTTACTTTCTTATCTAGCTTAATGTCAAGAGTGCATTATAAAAATTTCAAACATCAGAGACGGTTTTGTGAGGCACCCATGGAAGGGTTTATACTAAAAATGTTCAGTGGGCTCTTTGCAACCCCCTTAAACAATACCCTTGAATCGGTCTCCTCTGTGT